ACTATTGCCAGTATCAGTACCACACAACAACAACAACAACAACAACAACAACAACAACAACTACTACAACTACAACTACAACTACAAATACAACTACAACTACAACTACAACTACAACTATACCACTACGACGACTACGACGACGACGACTACTACTACTGCTACTGCTACTGCTGCTGCTGCTGCTGCTGCTGCTGCTGCTGCTGCTGCTACGTCCACTACAACAACGACCAGGTTAAACTGAGGTTAAACCATGAACACAGGGCATGCCACATTCCCACGATACAGCAAGCAACTCACACCCTTCGTGCCATGTGCATACCCTATGCCCGTAGCCCTGAACTCCAAAATCCTAGAGTCCTAGACCTTGGCTCATCCTTATGCATCACTTCGAAGAAGCTGGGAGTTTGAGATGAGAGCCCTCCGGATTTCGAGCCCCAGCGGGCCAGCACGATCACAGTCACTTCTCGATCTTGCGTCCTGTAGGTCTCGCAGAGTAAGCTGCAAAGGTCATGCGACTGTCCACAGATCCTGACTGGCATTGGGTTGGGTTGCGATTTTTGGCATGCTAGGACGATGATGCATGTGATGACGCTTGAACTGCATTGCCACGAGTAGCCATTACTCTGGTTATCATCACCAGTTCTGGTGACGTTGCTGTGGTCGTTTTCGAAACCTGCCGTGCTTCGCCAAGCTGTGACATGGAAAAGGTCCAAGGCACCGGGTTTAGGGCTTCAGGGCTTTGGGGCTTGAGGGCTTTGGGGCTTTAGGGCTCTGGGGCTCTAGGCGCTTTAGGCTTTCAAGAGGACAGTTACCTATGCTATTTTGGGGGATCCTGATACTATGGTATAATGGGCCCCAAACCCCTATTCTAGTTATTAAGGCCCCTAGATTAAACCCTGAACCTTTAGACCGAAGACTTTGACCCTGGCGTGATTTGCTCGGTTGTAAATACTTAAGCCTAAACCCCAAACCCTAAATCGCTACGGTACCGGCCACGCCATGCTACCGGTTGACTTCGAACGATCTTTGCGATTGTGGTTTTGCAGCAGATTGAGGATTTACGGTTTTGGAGTTTAGGGTTTCGTGTTTCAAGACTGAGCTAAACCTTAACTAAACTCTCATAATAGCCCTCCGGATACCAGCCTAAGCACCCTTGAGGAGTTTTTTCATAACCCCTCACGATATTCGTTGAAACACCCGGATCCCGCTACCAACGCAGCCGCTACAGAAACCGTAGCTGCTTGTCAAGTTCGGTTTACATTGACCAGTGGAACGCTTGGCCCGTGCGAGGGCGAGTGCCCAATCTCTCTCTCTCTCTCTCTCTCGCTCGCTCGCTCTCTCTCTCTCTCTCCCTCTCTCTCTCTCTCTGTGTCTCTGTCTCTCTCTCTCGCTCTCTGGCTCTCTCTCTCTCTCTTTCTCTCCTTGTCTCTCTCCCTCTCTCTTTCTCTCCTTGTCTCTCTCCCTCTCTCTTTCTCTCTCTGTCACTCTCGACATATACACTTCTACACATGTATATATATATATATGCACAAAACCCGGGCATTTGGAACATGCCTACGTGTTTAGATGCACATGGGAAGCCCCATGGCAACGGCGAGGCGTGTTCCATGGGGGCTTGCCTTGATCCTGGGCGCTGGGCAGACCGTGCTGAAGCGATCGCCCCGGTGAGTTCAATCAGGGGTTTTAGGGTTCAGGGGGTTGAGGTTTAGAGTCTATGTTATATTATAGAACCATAGATTTCTTACACAGCCTTTCAAAGAAACTTTACAGGGGCTAATTTAATCAATATAAGGCCCCTCTACGGTAACCCAACAGGTAACCCTAACAACCCTTCTAGACCTTATAGTACTCTTATAGTAACCCGCACAGAGCCCTCCGCGAAACCTTAAAACAGCCCTAAACCC